TAGCTGTTGGGAGCAAGGCTTTCCACATTTCTTGGGCGAGCTGTGATGCTTACACTCAGTGGCTGGCGCTCTACCAACTGACCCATGCTTCCAACCCCCCATACTATATATATATATATATATATATATATATATATATATATATATATATATATATATATATATATATATATATAGGCTTTATCAGGGTTTGTTCTCTCTGGGCCTTTTGTTTGTTAGGCAAGTTCCTTTGCACCTTATCTTTATTTTTACCAGATGTGTATGTGTGTGTATTTTTTTGCCAGTCCTGGAGCTAGGGCTTAGGAACTGTTCCTGAGCTTCTTTTGTTCAAGGCTGGCACTCTACCACTTCTACCACAGCACCATTTCTGTTTTTTTTTGTCTTTTTTGAGTAGTTTATTGAAGAGTCCCCACGGTTTCCTGCCAGGGTTGGTTTCGAACCACGATCCTCAGATCTCAGCCTCCTGAGTAGCTAGGATTACAGGCATGAGCCACCAGCTTTATCACATTTTTGTTTTGTCATGGGAGCTTGAATCTGGACCTGGGCACTGTCCCTTAGCTCTTCAGCTCAAGGTGAGCACTCTACCCATTTGAGCTACATCACCACTTCTGGTTTTCTGGTGGTTTATTGGAGATGAGCCTCATAGACTTTCTTGCCTGGGCTGGTTTTGAACCTCTTATCCTCAGATCTCAGCTTCCTGAGTAGCTAGGATTACAGATGTGAGCCACCGGTGCCCACCTTACCATTCATTTTTAACTATTTATATAGATTTCCATTTGAGACTGGATTAGACAAAACTCATCCATGTGAAGAAATTGTACAGTCCTGACGCTGGTCAGCTCTGAGTGCCAACAAAAACTCTATGAGCAGTTCTGCCAATAGTCATGAAGAAACAGGAAATTGAGTTTTGAGAAAATCAGGAACTACTACTGTCATCAAAATAGCCAATAGGTAAAAACAAATTAAGGTGGTACTGGGGACCTAGTTTCATTATTGTTATTCTCATGAATAATTCCTTTGAAGTGAGACTTCAGTGGGCAAGAAAACCAGTATCAGTGCAAGCACTTACATAAGCTCTCATACCAAACTTACTGTACTGACTGGATTCTTGAATGCATTTTAAGGAATGAGTTGGAGTGACTGTTTAACTTTCAGCTTGGGAGAAAGCTGGTCACTCTGATTTAAAGAGTCAGGTTTGAACACTTGGAACAATGCTTTCCTCAGGCCCAGTGAAGCTGCACTAATGTGAGGCGGCACATGTAATTGCACTGGAATCTGCCTGCAGCCGCAGTTCTCACGGAAGCTGACTGTGTGATGGTGCTGGGCCTGAAGCACGGAAGGCACACGCGGCCAGCCCCAACCCCCACGTCCCTCTCGAGCTTACTGCTGCTGAAGGTGGAAAGGGCAATGGCTGAAGACCTGAGTCATAGATGAAGTACAAATAGAATGGACATGCCATTTACAGTACTAAGTAGGCGTTCAACTGAGAAAAATAGATAGGTTAACTCATTTATGAAAATTATGTACCTGGAAATTTCATTACTCTATAGCCCAAGTAAGTTCTGTTGCTACTCATAACTGTAATTTCTTTTGTGTACTGGAACTAGGATTTGAACTCAGGGCCTGGGGACTATCTGCCAGCTTTTTTGTTCAAGGCCAGCGCTCTACCAAGTGAGCTATACTTTCACTTCCAGCTTTTCTGCTGGTTAAAAGGAGCAAAGAGCGGCTGGGAAGGTGGCTCAGTGGTAGAGCACTTCCTTGCATGCCTGAGGCCCTGGGTTCAATTCCTCAGCACCACATAAGCAAAAAGAAAAAAAAAGCCAGAAGTGGTGCTGTGGCTCAAGTGGTAGAGTGCTAGCCTTGAGCTGAAGAGCTGAGGGACAGTGCCCAGGCCCAGAGTTCAGGCCCATGACCAGACCCCCCCCCCCCCCCCAAGAAAAAAAAAAAGGAGTAAAGAGTCTGATGGACTCCTAGCTTGCTGTGATCCTCAGACATCAGTCTCTAGGGTAGTTAAGGATTACAGGTGTGAGCCAGGGGTGTAAGGCTGCAGCTATTATCTTGTTTGTTGTTGTTGTTGGAGGTGGTGGTGACTGCAGGGCTTCAACTCCTCTTTTGCTCAAGGCTAGCACTCAACTCCTTTGAGCCACAGTTCTTCTGGTTTCCTGGAGGTTAACTGGAGATAAGAGTCTCATGGACTTTCCTGCCTGGGCTGGCTTTGAACTGCAATCCTCAGATCTCAGCCTCCTGAGATCTTACAGGCATGAGCCACCAGTGCCTGGCTGGTAACTATTATTTTAATGAAGTTAACTGATCTGCATTTTTCTCAAGATGCAATTTTTCTAATGTATTTAGGCTAAGCCCAATAAAAATACTCATTTTGTAAGATAAAAAACATGGCCAATGGGCTTAGAAGCCTTGAGCTGAAGAGCTGAGGGACAGCGCCCAGGCCCAGAGCTCAGGCCCCATGACCGGACCCCCCCCCCCCAAAAAAATGGCCAATGAAACAATTGGCTTCACAGGTTTAACCCTATTCAACAGGCCACAACACCCTAAGTCTCACCATCCTACTCAGAAGCCATTTGTGAGGCCCTAAAACAGTCTTTGTTCACAAATCTTGCAACTTGTTCACTAAAGACTTAACAAAAACTTAAAATGTTCTCCTGACATTTTAGTGACTTCTGAGAAACATTATTAAATGTGCTTAATCATTTACTGCTGGATCAGTGGTTCTATCTGATTGGGCAAATAGCTGGCACGGAAACTACTAACACATTCACAATCTAATCTTCCCTGAACCCAGCTTCAACTCTCAAATGCTGGCTGTGGAACATACCATGCTTTGCAATAGAAAATTCTCATTTTAAAAAAAATGGACAGAAATAGTATTTGAGACAACTATTTCTGTCCATTGTTTTAATGAGAATCTCAAAATAACTATTCAGGTTTGCTCCATGCATTTTTGATAACCAATATTGATTGGAAAATGTTGCATTTTATACCTAATCATCCTTTAAATCCCTGACATACGTCCAAGAGAATTACTTTGTCTAAGTGATTCTGCCAGTTTTCATCCTTTTTTTTTTTTTTTTTTGTCGGGCATGGGGCTTGAACTCTGGGCCTGGGCGCTGTCCCTCAGCTCTTCAGCTCAAGGCGAGCGCTCTACCACTTGAGCTACAGCGCCACTTCTGGTTTTCTAGTAGTTTATTTGAGATAAAAGTCTCACTGTCTTTCCTGCCCAGGCTGGCTTTGAACCGCGATCCTCAGATCTCAGCCTCCTGAGTAGCTAGGATTACAGGTGTGAGCCACCGGTGCCCAGCCAGTTTTCATCCTTTGCAAGATGCTTTACAGTAAAGCTCTCATACTTTATCCCACTCTAGTCCACAGTGGGGTTTGAACTCAGGGCCTAGACCCTGTCTCTGAGGTTTGCTCTACCACTTTGAATACAATGCCACTTCTGGTGTTCTGGTGGTTAACTGGAGATGAGTCTCATGGACTTTCCTGCTTGGGCTGGCTAATCACTAAAATGTTGCTTAGGAGATATTGTGGTTAAACTTTCATTATATTGGTTGTTAATTTTTTGCCAGTCCTGGGTCTTGAATTCAGGGCATGAGCACTGTCCCTGAGCTGCTTTTGCTCAAGGTTTACACTCTCCAACTTGCAAGCCACAATGCCACTTCTGGCCTTTTCTGTTTATGTGGTACTGAGGATCGAACCCAGGGCTTCATGCATGCGAGGCAAACACTCTACCATTAATCCACATTCCCGGCCCTGGTTGTTAAAAAGAGGTGAAAATACAGATTTTAAGAATTTCTAGCTACTACTATTGGAAAATATTTAAATGTGTAATTACTATTTAACATTTAGGTGTCATAAATAAATACTGAATTTGTTTTGTGTGAGTCTGCCCTGGAGCTTGAACTAGGGCTAGCTTTGAACCAAGATCCTTCCATCTTAGCCTCCCTAGTAGCATTACAGCCAGACCAGGCAGAAAAGCCCATGAGATTATCTCCAATTAAACACTAAAATACCAAAAGTGGAACTGCGGCTCAAATGGTAGTGTGCTAGCTTTGAGTTAAAAAATCAGAGATAGCACCCAGGCCTTGAGTTCAAGCCTCAGAATATACACAAAACAAAAAAGATACCTTAATCACGCTTTCTCTGGCTACCCTATATAAAAATTACAACTTCTACATAAGTCAGCATTTACAATGTCTATTTTCTTTTTCTTTCTTTTTTTTTGGAGGGGGTCTGGTCGTGGGGCCTGAACTCTGGGCCTGGGCACTGGCCCTCAGTTCTTCAGCTCAAGGCTAGCGCTCTACCACTTGAGCCACAGCACCACTTCCGGCTTTTTTCTTTTTGCTTATGTGGTGCTGAGGAATCAAACCCAGGGCCTCATGCATGCAAGGCAAGCGCTCTACCACTGAGCCACCTTCTCAGCCCACTACAATGTCTATTTCCATTGACTGTCTTATTACCTACTCCCACTCTAGAGCATAAGCTGGGGAGTACGTAAAACAGTGTCTCATAAGTAGTAAGCAGGTGCTGTTAATCTTTGTTGAATGCAGGCATGCATGCACGCATGAATGAATCCTGACATGAATGTAAACCCGCATTTGTTTGACCTGAACTGGAAGCATCTGTACAACCCCTTATGTAATGCAGATGGGAAAGGGACATAGATTATTGATAACTTGAGTTATTCTTTCAGGGGCTGGGAAGGTGGCTCAGTGGTAGAGTGCTTGTCTTGCATGCCTGAGGCCCTGGGTTTGATTCCTCAGCACCACATACATAGAAAAAGTCAGAAGTGATGCTGTGGCTTAAGTGGTAGAGCACTAGCCTTGTGCTGAAGAGCTCAGGGACAGTGTCCAGGCCCAGAATTCAAGCCCCATGACTGACCAAAAGAAAAAGTTTAATTTCTTCATGTGGTATGTGTATTCATGTACAATACAGCGTATTTTTCTGCACTGTATGTCTTTGTGGATAAAAATAAAAACACTATAAACAGTTTCTCTTTTTATTAAATGAGTTCAAACCAAACTCAGTAATTCAGATCTACACACAATAAAGTAAGGCAAAGATAGAGCAGAACGAATCGAAGTTGTGTAGTTAACTCAATTCCAATAATATGAAATGTGAATTTAAAGGTAAAACTATGGAAGCTTTACTGCAATGACACAGTCTGATTTTAGACAGTAGAAAACCATGTAACATCTGGAATCTCTCAAGTCTAAGAATCAATCAGCAGATACCCCTCATCTTCAAGGCACAACGATGTTTTCTACAGAGAAGTCTCTAAGAGCTAAGGTTATTGAGAGCACAGGAGAGGCAATCAGAGACTCGGGGCGTTTCTGTGGACCGTTCTCTGAAGCAGGTTACTGGTCTCGGGCGGAGGCCACCTCGGGATCCACACCGGCTTCTCCCTGGAAGCCATGCTGAGCGCAGGGTTTGGAGGCAGCCCGCAGGGCTTCCTTGTCTGGCCCGGGACATCCCCCGGGGCCATGGCTCTCCCAGGCCATGTGGCTGTGACTGTGGCTGTGGCTGTGGCAGTAGGGCCCCCCCTGTTCTGGTGCGGGGTGACTCACCCCGGGGCTCGTTCCAGAACTGACCTCCATGTTTCCGCCCACGGCCGCAGCTGTAGCCTCGGGCCCAGTCTCAGAAGCCACAGCCGTGGCCTCCCCTGGGGTGGCCCCTGAGGCCTCTGCCACCGGCCCCTTCGCTGCCGCTGGAGTCTCTTCCGCGCTTTTCACCTCAGCGCCCGCGTCACACTCTTCAGTGGCTCCTGAATACTCTTCCTTAGCTTCTGGGGTGTCCTCTGGCACAAAAAGGAAAACCAGAAAGCCGAGAAGATTTAGCTCGCGAGGCAGAGTGCTACCTCAGAGAAGCCGGGGCAACGGGACACTGTGGTCACTGCGCCGAGCACAGCGCAGGCAACAGACAGCAGGATGGACTGCACGGTGCAAGGCAAGCGAGAGAATGCTTCTGCAGAGCTGTGTGTGAAGTCTTCAGGATTCAGAGAAGTGGGGGTTCGGGCCTGCCTCTTGGGAGGAAAATGGAAGATCTTTCCCATAATTTTTTTTTTTTTTGGTCGGACTTGGGGCTTGAACTCAGGGCCTGGACACTGCCCCTGAGCACTGCCATTCAAGGATAGTGCTCCACCACTTTGAGCCATAGCCCCACTTCTGGTTTTCTTTCTTTTTTTTTGCCAGTCCTGGGGCTTGTACTCTGGGCCTGGGCACTGTCCCTGAGCTTCTTTTGCTCAAGGCTAGCACTCTAGCACCACTTCCAACTTTTTCTGTTTATGTGGTACTGAGGAATCGAACCAAGGGCTTCATGCATGCTAGGCAAGCACTCTATCACTAAGCCACATTCCCAGCCCACTTTTGGTTTTCTTGTGGTTAAGAGTCTCATGGACTTTCCTGCCTTGGCTGGCTTTAAACCATGATCCTCAATTCTTGGCCTCCAGAGCAGCTAGGATTACAGGCCATGAGCCACTAGGCACCCAGCTCCTATAAACGCTTTTGAAATTAAAAAATGTACATAGGCTGGGAATGCGGCCTAGCATGCAGGAAGCCCTGGTTTGATTTCTCAGTACCACATAAACAGAAAAAGCCAGAAGTGGTGCTGTGGCTCGGGTAGTGGTAGCCTTGAGCAAAAGAAGCTTAGGGACAGTGCCCAGGCCCTGAGTTCAAGCCCCAGGACTGGCAAAAAAAAAAAAAAAAAAGATTGTGAAACTTGCTGGCCCGTTGGTGGCTCTCACCTGTAATCCTAACTACTCAGGAGGCTGTGATCTGAGGATCATGGTTCAAACCAGCCTGAGCAGGAAAGTCTGAGAGACTCTTCTCTCCAATTAACCCACCAGAAAACCGGAAGTACATTGTGGCTCAGGTGGTAGAGCCTTAAGCCGAAGAGCTCAGGGACAGCTCCCAGGCCCAGAGTTCAAGCCCCAGGACCAACCAAAAAAAAAAAAAAAGATTGGGAAACTTTAACCTCCTATGTTGTCACCTTTCTAGCTACTGACTAAGGAAATCACAAATCCTCTCAACCTGTTTTTATCATCTGTCAAATAGGAATACTGAGAATATCTACCTACCTCACAGGGCTACTGGGAAAATGGACTAGAATGCTAGGGGCCAGGGGCTTAGGTCTGTAATCTGAGCTACTCAGGAGGCTGAAATCTGAGGACTGTGTTTCAAAGCCAGCCTGGGGAGTTCAAACCCAAGAGACTTTTATCTCCAATTAAACTGCAAAAAGCCAAAAGTGGAGCTGTAGCACAAGTGATAGAGTGCCAACCTTCAATGAAATAGCTAAGTAACGGAGCACAGGCCCTGAGTTCAAGCCTCTAGAACTGGCAAAACAAACAGACAAAACCCCCACAGGTTATAATATCTAGTGTGCTTTGTACGAAGACCCTGGGGTGGTCTTAGTGAAAAGATAGTAGCAAGATTTAAAACAGTAATGAGGAATATGAAAGGTCAGGCTGCTGAAAGAGACAGATACTAAACCCGGCTTGCATGAATGGATGTCTGAATAGGGTAAAGATAACACTGCTTTGCAAGGAAGTCAAACCACTGGTCATCAGTATACATTAACACTCATTCATCAAGTGCACTCATCCAATAACTCTGAAAACATTCTTTGGGTTTGGTTGGGTTTTTCCTTCCTGAATGAACTTCTGCACAGAGCCATTCCAGCTTAAGTTTGCAAGCCACAACAAATGTTCGTTGCCAGGCTAAGATGATGGGAATTAGTGCCTCTCCAAAGAATAGTATAAGCTGGGCACCAGTGGCTCATGCTATAATCCTAGCGACTCAGGAGGCTGAGATCTGAGGATCATAGTTCGGAGCCTGGGCAGGAAAGTCTATGAGACTTTTTTGAACTCTGAGCCAGGGCGTTGTCTTTGCACTCTTCAGCTCAAGGCAAGAGCTCTATAGCTTGAGACACAGCACCACTTCCAGTTTTCTAGTGGTTTATTAGAAATAAGAGTCTCACGGACTTTCTTGCCCAGGCTGGCTTTGAACTGTAATACTCAGATCTCAGCCTCCTGAGCAGCTAGTATAACATGCGTGAGCCACCAGCACCCAGCTCCATGAGACTAAAAAACTAAAAAAGAACAGTATAATTAGAAATTCACTTTACCTTGAGATGGATGTGACCCTGCTTTTGTTTTTCCTTTTAAACTGGTTATATGTACTGTGTGTTTGGCTGGCTCTGATATGACAGTCTTATAAGTCTGAAAGAAAGAAAAATATGTGTTTAGTTTTACTTCTTGAGCTCTAAAAATCATTGTGTCAAATTCAAAATCATTTATAGTTCTTCTCCATGTGATCATCATTAGAAGTTACAACTACAGTCCCAGCGTGGCAAAGAAATCTCTGCGTGCCATTTGCTCATTTACTCTCCCTTTACAAACCTTTTGCCACTAAGTACAATATTCTAAAAGAGAACCGTGCTCTAAAAATGGTAATCAGAGTTAACTGAAAATACAGTGAAGACAAAGGAAGGCAAGCTGGTGCTGGTGGCTCACACCTATAATCCCAGCTACTGGGGAGACTGAGATCTGAGGATCATGGTTCAAACCTAGCCAACTAACCAGCAAAAAGCCAGGATGGAGTGTGGCTCAAGTGGTAGAGCAATCAGGCTGAATGATAAAACAATAAAAATCAAGTGATTATGAAGCCATGAATTCAACCCCTCCTCACACACAAGTTTTTAAAAAAGATTCCCAAGTGACATAGTTAGAGCCTAACAAAGATACCTTCATTAAGATAAGCTGGGGTTCATCATAAAAACAACACTATTACCTGGATGCAGATTATCCAAGGAAAAAGTATGGTGCAGAAATAGACCAATGTATAGGTTACTTTGCATTTCACACTCAGTCTCCCTGGCCTGCATTCAGCTAGAACATGTAGGAAGCCAGAGTTTAATTCCTAATACCAAAAATGAATAAACAAAAATGAAAATTTTAGCCAGGCACTGGTGGCTCAGGTCTGTAATCTTAGCTACTAAGGAAGCTGAAGTCTGAGGATCCTGGTTCAAAGCCAGCCAGGGCAGGAAAGTCCAATTAACCACCAGAAAACCAGAAGTGGCACTGTGGTTCAAATGGTAGAGTGCTTGCTTTGAGCTGAAGAGCTCAGGGACAGCTCCCAGGTCCAGAGTTCAAGTTCCATGACCAAATAAACAAAAAAAGAAAATCTCACTCCAGATATAGCTGTGTGTATTGTTTTAGCTCTCTTTTCGCTGGAAGGTTTGGGCTTGGTTACTGTAAAGGTGATGTATAGTTACATAAATCAGGTACTGAGCACATTTCTTTTTGGACAATGTCACTCTCTCCCTGTTTTTCCCTCCTGCTCCCACCCACAAGTTGTATCGTTCATTTTCAACCAGTGTTTAGTGAGCACCACTGCTGCATTTTCTCCATTTCTATGCACCCTCCACCCCACCAAAGACAGAAAATAGAACAAGAGAAAAAGGAAAAACAGAAAAAGCAATAAAGAAAAAACCTTGTTTCCATTTCCTGGTGTTCATTTCAATAAATATTATTTTATAGGATCAGATGCACAGTGGCATTGTACCTTTGTGTTTGTCTCTTTAAACCTGTAGGCACGGCTCTCCTGTCAGCCAGTCCCTCTGTACTGGTCTTAGGAAGACCTGACACCCCAGGCCCCCTCAACTTCCATATAAACAGTGCAGGGTGTAGCTAAAATTTTGCACTCTGATACTTTCATCTCTGAGTGTCTTATAAATACTCTAATAAAGAATATGAGGTGGCCGGGCGCTGGTGGCTCACGCCTGTAATACTAGCTACTCAGGAGGTTGAGATCTGAGGATCACGGTTCAAAGCCAGCAGGGGCAGGAGAAACCGTGAGACTCCTATCTCCAATAAACCACCAGAAAACCGGAAGTGGCACTGTAGCTCAAGTGGTAGAGCGCTCGCCTTGAGCTGAAGAGCTGAGGGACAGCACCCAGGCCCAGAGTTCAAGCCCCAGGACCGACAAAAAAAAAAAAGAATATGAGGGCTGGGAATGTGGCTCAGTGGTAGAATGCTTGCCTTGCATGCATAAGGCCCTGGATTCAGTTCCTCAATGTGTCCACATAAACAGAAAATGTTGGAAGTGGTGCTGTGGCTCAAGTGGCAGAGCATGAGCCTTGAGCTGAGGGACAGCGCCCAGGCCCAGAGTACAAGACCACAACCAACAAAAAGAAAAAAGAAAAAAAAAAAGATGTGAACCTTGAATCTTCCATGTAAGACTTTAAGCTGGGTGCCAGTGGCTCATGCCTGTAATCCTAGCTACTTAGGAGGCTGAGATCTGAGGATCACGGTTCAAAGCCAGCCCAGACAGGAAAAGTTCATGAGACTCTTATCTCTGACCACCAAAAAACTGGAAGTAGAGCTGTAGCCCAAAGTGGTAGAGGGCTAGCCTTGAGCAGAACAGCTCAGGGACAGTGCCCAGGCCCTGAGTTCAAGCCCCACAACTGACAAAACAACAAAAATCTTCATAATCATCTAGACACTAAATTCTCATGAAAACATGACAATATATTCTCTGATTACATTAATCCAATGTCCTGATCTTAACACTGTTTTGAGTTTTACCAAACTTTGGATTGTCAATCTTTGGATTCCTGAACACTACTTACATAATATCCACCCGCACTGACTGTGACACCAACAACCAGATAATAAAGCATATTGGATCTCGATGTTCCAGGGGTTTTGTTGGATGACATCTGGCGAAGGGATGCTATGGAAAGCAAGTTTGAACAGAGTCACCATCATTTCAGCAGTCATTTCCTGTACATCTTCAAAAAAAAAAATCACAGCACAGAAGCCTGGCGCCAGTGGTTCAAACTTGTAATCCTAGCTACTCAGGAGGCTGAAATCTGAGGATCACAGTTCAAAGCCAGCCAATAAACCACCAGAAAACCAAAAGTGGCACTGTGGCTCAAGTGGTAGAGCACTAGCCTTGAGGTGAAGAGCTGAGGGACAGCGCTCAAGCCCAGAGTTCGAACCCCATGACCGACCAAAAAAAAAAAAAATTACAGCACATGAATCTAAACAAATGACTTAGAGTAAGAAAGGAAACAAAATAGATCTACTTAAATATTTATTCTGCAGTGCTAGAATTTGTACATACTATAATGCCCTGGAATTAAAATTTTACAATAGACTCAAAGCTAGGAGCTTAAGTTTCATAGAGCTTACCATTTTTAATTTAAAGAAAAAGCAGAGACATTTACGCATTCAGTCAACAAATACAGGTGAGCACCCACATGTTTGTAATTGTTATAAACATAAAGGATACCACTGTGGACCAGACAAACACGGTCCCTAATCCCTTAGTAGCTCAAGTCTAGAAAAAGTGTGTGTGTGTGTGTGTGTGTGTGTGTGTGTGTATATATATATATATATGTGTGTGTAGAAAGGATTATAGATGGGGCTGGGAAGGTGGGTCAGTGGTAGAGTGCTTGCCTCGCATGCATGAGGCCCTGGATTCGATTCCTCAGCACCACATAAACAGAAAAAGCCAGAAGTGGTGCTGTGGCTCCAGTGGTAGGGTGCTAGTCTTGAGCGGAAGAGCTGAGGGACAGCACCCAAGCCCAGAGTTCAGGCCCCACGACCGACAAAAAAAAAGAAAAAAAGACTTATAGACAAATAATTGTGATACAGTTTGAAAAGAGTTGTAATAGTTGTTCAGTAGATTAAAATTGCTGAGAAAAAAATCAGCAAGCTGGCTCAAGATAAATGTTCAAAGAGACTCGTCTCTTCATTTCAAAAGTAAGCAGGAGTCTGTCAGATAAACCGAAGAGAAATGGCTCAGGGCTGAAGGCTGTGCGTGCTTGCTTGCATGGGGTGGTGTGTCTGGAGAAGGTCACAGTCACCCGAAGTGGCCCGACACTGAGCACGACAGATGACAACTTGCACAAGGCAGATCTTAAGACATCTGCACAGTTTCAAGCCTTCATAGTAGCAAAATCACAGTTTGGATGTAAAAGGCAATCTCTTGGAAACCCCCTTCCCGCGCGCCCCTCACTGGCACACATAAAAGGGGGCCCAGTAGCCTATGATGAAAGGTTATGGCTTTGACTTGCGCTTGAAAATAAGTGCACACGGAGTGCTAACGGCCTATGTCAGCTACTCAAGAGGCTGAAATCTGGAGGATCTGGGTTCAAAGCTAGCCCAGGCAGAACTGTCCAAGAAACTCCATCTACAAGTTAACCATCACTAAGCTGGACAGGTAACATGGTACACTATCAGGCATGAGTAACAAGAAAGCTGAGTGAGAGCATTTGGCCTTGAATTCAAGCCCCAGTACTGGTGGGTGCATGTGTGCGCGCATGCACACACACACACACACACACACACACACACACACACACCCCTGAAACAATTTATCAAAGTAGAAAGTACCAATAAAACATTCATTAATGCTTTCAAATGAAGACAAATTTAAGTGTTATCAATGCTATGTCTTTAAGATACATAAATCAGTGCTACAAAAATATTAATTAGACAAAATAAAAGGAGAATCAATATGGTTAGCATCAGTACTGGTAATGATGCATTCAGAAATGTTTTAGCTCCTTGCATTTTGCCTCAAGCTGGAGAAGGAATTCTCTAAACCTGCTTACCTAAGCAAACAAGGCACATATGAGGGTATGTGAAGGCTCAGAGTAAAGGAGTTCATCTTTCTCCTCTCCTTCCCATCAAAACAGCCCAGTTATTATCAGTACAAAATAGTCCAGCACCAGCACCTGTGGTTCACGCCTGTAATCCTAGCTTTAGTCAGGAGGCTGAGATCTGAGGATCACCAGGGCAGGAAAAGTCCATGAGATTCTTGTCTCCGATTAGCCACCAAAAAGCTCCAAGTGGAGCTGGGCTCAGGAGGTTAGAGCACTCACTGGCCTTGGGCAGAAAACCTCAGACAGCGACCCAGGCCCTAAATTCAAGCTCCAGGGCAGGCACAAAACAAAAGATGTAATTAAATGAATGTTTTCGCTCTATTCTTGGGGGGGGGGGAGGACACCAACTCTCCTGCTGGGCATAGAGACTCAGGGAAGCTTTAGGGAGGAACCCTAACCTCACAGCCCACCAGCACTCCCAAGAAAAATAAGAGGAGGAAAGATTTCCCTCTCCACCCACCCCCCCTCACCTGGGCCTCACCAAAACCACAAAGCAGAGCCCCTGGCAGGGGGAGTGTCCTGGCAGGGAAGGGGGTGTCCTGGCAGAGGGGGTGTCCTGGCAGGGGGGGTGTCCTGGCCGGGGAGAGGGTGTCCTGGCCGGAGAGGGGGTGTCCTAGCAGGGGGGGTGTCCTGGCAGGGGGATGTCCTAGCAGGGGGGTGGGGGGGAGAGATATCCTGCAGGCCCTTTTCTGGCTCCTGGGAAACTGAGCTTCCGGGGACTGCCGTTAGAGGCCAGCCTGGGTAGAAGCCCTGGCAGACCCCCTCTCCAAACATCAGCCAGCCAGGCCCCGCCAGTCTGGCCCAGGTGTGCGGCGCCGGAATCGCACACAACCTGCCAGGGGAGCCCCTGAGGTCCGTCCTCCAGCCAGCGACGGGAAGGGGGGGGCGGGGCGCTCGCCGGGTCCCCCGGGCCGCGGCGCCTACGCCGGTGCCCCGCGTTCCAGGCCCCGGGCCGGTCTGCGCTCACGGCTCGGCCCGCCGACGGAGGAGGGTGCGGGCCGGACGGCGGCCAGGCCTCGGGGAGCGGCGGGCAACCCATCCGCCCCGTCGGGCCCTCCGCGCCCGGCCCGCAACGGCATTTAGCGACCGCCCGTCCGGCCGCCGGGCCCTCGGGCTCACCGGGAGCCCCGCCCCGCCGGGCCGCCCCACGCCGCGACGGCCGCGGGTCCGCGGCCCAGCCCGCGCGCCGGGGCCAACCGCAGCCCACGGACGCGGCCGCCGGGGTCCCCAGCGACGCGGGGTGGGCCGGGGCCGGGTGCGAGCGGGGTCGGGGCGCCTCTCCTCAGCCCGACGCCGGCACTCACCGTCCTTCCCGAGCGGCGCGGGGCTCGGGGGCGCCCTCCGGGGCAGAGCCAGGGTCCGGGAGACCACCCGGCGGAGATACATCGCGTCCCCGCGCGCTCCGCCGCCGTCCCGCGCGCCGCGCCGCCCGACGCCCAGGCACGCGGCCCCGAGCGCCGCGCCCCGCCCCGCGCCGCCCCGCCCGACCCGACGCCCCGCCCGACCCGACGCCCAGGCACGCGGCCCCGAGCGCCCCGCCCCGCCCCGCCCCACCCGACCCGACACCGCCCCGCCCCGCCCCGCCCCGCCCCGACGCCCGGGCACGCGGCCCTGAGCACCTCGCCCCGCCCCGCCCCGCCCCGATGCCCGGGTACGCGGCCCTAAACACCTCGCCCCGCCCCGCCCCGCCCCGCCCCACCTGACCCGACACCGCCCCGCTGCCCCGACGCCCGGGCACGCGGCCCTGAGCACCGCGGCCCTGAGCACCTCGCCCCACCCCGCCGCCCCGCCCCGCGCCGCCGCCCCGCGCCGCCGCCCCGCGCCCCCGCCCCGCGCCCGGACGTGCGGATCGCAGGCCTCAGCTAGCCCGCGCCTCGCACCTCGCACCTCGCACCTCCGCCCGGGCGCTCTCCCGCCGCCCCCGAGTCGGTGGACGCATCTCAGGGATCCCGTCCGGCATCTTGAGGTACACCCCCCCCCAGCGCAGCCTGGGGGCTCCGGACTCAGTTTACCTCTCCCGCTCCAGCTGGAAGGCGCTGTGCGGACCAGGCGAGGGGAGGGGCCGGAGGAAGAAGCCCCAGAAGCCCCAGGCACCACGGACGTGCAGGCTGTCCGGACATGACCAGCGGCTTCCCCGGTGCCCATGACGGGGCTGGGAAGGGGCCGAGTGGTAGAGTGCTCTCGTCTGCATGCTTGAAGCCCTGGGTTCGAGTCCGCAGTACCACATGCACAGAAAAAAAGCGGCAGCCTTGAGCACAAGAAGTTCAGGGTCAGCGCAGGGCGCTGAGGTGCTCGGTTTCCTATGTGGTCACATGGAAGGGACCATTTCCTAACGTGAGCTTCTTCCTGTGCGTCCGACACTGAAGCTAAGATGTAGCCTGGCGGTAGAGCATGTGCTTACAGTGCTTGAGGCTAGGGAAGAGAGGGAAATTATTCCTAGTGGTTAAAGTCATTACACTGTTCCCCCCTCACCCCCACCCAAAAAAAAGCATTATAAGAAGAAGTAGCTGGACATCATGGCTCACACTTCGAATCCTAGCTGCTCAGGAGGTTGAGATCTGGAAGGCTGGTGTTCATAGCCTGCTTGAGAAGAAAAATCCTCTAGACTCCATCTCAAGTAACCCGCAAAAAAGCTGGATGGACTGGAGGCATGGTTCAAGTGGTAGAGCTCCAGCCCTAAGCGAGAAAACCAAGTGAGCTAGAGGCCCTGAGCTCAAGTCACAGTACTGGCAGGTCTATGTAAATCATTGAACAACTAGGGAAGCCCCTTTCAGGGCTCCTCAGACCCTTCACCAAGAAGGTGGTATTCCTGAAAATAGGAAAACAGATTGGTACACTTACCACATTTGACCAGCACCTAACTGTTACTGAACTGCTAGGAGCTAGGCCAGACTGACAAGTCAAACCACATCTATTTACTTCTGCAGCTCATTCTTGCCTTGGTGTACTTGGGGATGAAACTTGACTGGCTTGTCATCGACAAAGGCAAGTAAATGGACTTGAATGAATGCATATATGCCTTTTATTGCTATTTTCTCCTGTTGTAAGCAGCAGACCCTAAAGCTGTTTTGCATTCTGAATTCCCAGCTGTTTCTGGAACCCCAGTGTAGTGTGACATTGGCCTTTACTAAAGAGGACTCTTTCAGGCTCTAGCTAGCTTCCTAGCAACTGGCTGGTCCCGTTATTCATGAGGCTGCCCTTGAGCACATCCTTGGCATTTTTCTTGTCTGAAAAACAAGAATCTGGGGTCAGAGATAGCTTGCTTACCTCAGATGACCTTCATCTAACCTGCTTGCTGATGAAGATGGTATGAATTCTGAAAGCATGTTGTAAGATCCTCTCATAACAATCTTGGCGATTCTTTCACAGCTTAAGAGCTATGCAATTAAAAGCAATTTTGATAGAACTAGTGATTTCCTAGACTCCACATGAAGCTTGAAAGCAGCTGAGTTTCTCCTAGTACTGTTTGTAGGCTGCAATATGTTTTTTTTTGTTTTGTTTTGTTTTGCTTTGGGACAAGATTTCATTGTATAACATGGGCTGGCCTCAAACTGGCAATGCTTCTACAGCCTCCTGAATACATATATCTAGATTTACACATGTATCTTCTACCTATATATCTATCTAGATATATGTATTCAGGAATGCCTATTTTTTTCTTCTTTTGAGAGATCAATATTGACAGAAAGCAAAACAATTTAGGAGTGCAAAGGAAATAAAAAAGGTAACCATAAAAAAGTCCTAAAAAGAACCCTGTTCTGGGCTGGGAAGGTGGCTTGATGGTAGAGTGCTTGCCCTGAATGCATGAGGCCCTGGGTTTGATTCCTCAGCACCACATACACGGAAAAAGCTGCAAGTGGTGCTGTGGCTCAAAAAAAACCCAACCCTGCCCTAAATAATTTACATACAATGGAGAGTTTTTTGTTGTTGTTGTTTTTGTCGGTCATGGGCACTGTCCCTATGCTCTTTAGCTCAAGGTGAGTGCTCTAACATTTGAGCCATAGTGCCACTTCCAGTTTTCTGGTGGTTTATTGGAGAGAAGAGTCTCACGGACTTTCCTGCCCAGACTGGCTTTGAACCTCGATCTCAGCCTCCCAGGATTACAGGCGTGAGCCCCCAATGCCTGCAGAGAGAAGGTTTTTGTTGTTGTTGTTGGTTTTTTGTTTTCTGTTTGGTGACAATCTTGGGGCTTGAACTTTGGCTCAGAGCTAGTGCTCTACTACTTGAACTGTCCAGCCCTACTTCCCCACTTTTCTGGTGACTACTAATTGAGGTAAGAGTCTCACGGACTTTCCTGCCTGAGCTGGCTTTGAACCACACTCTCAGATCTCAGCCTCCTTAGTAGCTAGGATTACACGCATGAGCCATTGGCACCTGGCTGAAAAGGTTATTTTCTGTTGTTGTTTTTAAAGAAAGTGTCTTACAGCCAGGTGCCAGTGGCTCACGCCTGTAATCCTAGCTACTCAGGAGGCTGAGACCTGAGGAGTGTGGTTCAAAGCCAGCCCTGGAAGGAAAGTCCGTGAGACTCTTATCTCCAATAAACCACTAGAAAACTGGAAGTGGCGCTGTGGCTCAAGCAGTAGAGCGCTCGCTTTGAGCTGAAGAGCACAGGAGCAGCGCCCAGGCCCAGAGTTCAAGCCCCACGACTGACCAAAAAAAAAAAAGGAAAGAAAGTGTCTTGCTATGCATCTGGCCTAGAATCCATAATCCTTCCCCATCCCCCCAAGATCTGGTATTTAAAAAATGGTGAATGAAGCTGGGTGTTGGCAGGTCACACCTGTAATCCTGGTTAATCTTGTGGATGAAATCTGGAGGATCAAGCTTCCAAGCCAATTTGGGCAGAAAAGTCCAAGAGATTCCATCTCCAATTAACCAGCCAAAAGCTAGGCTAGAGGTATGGATCAAGTGGTAGAATATCAGTTAGGAGCAAAAAGGCTGAAGAGCACAAATCCTGGAATTCAAACCTCAATAACAGGAAAAACCGAAAAAGAAAAAAATGATAGTTGATAGTAATTTCTTATTCTTAGATGTCACTCTGTAGTATCTCTATTCATTTTCTCTTTTGTAACAAAAGAAATACTTCTGTGCTCTTCCCTAAAGATATCATAACAAACAACAAACTTGTTTTAAAAGAACAGAAGTACTGGCTCCTCTACTCAGCACCCCCTCCGCCCCAACCTTAGGAAAAAGTTTCCTTGCATCTTTTTTTTTTTTTTTTTTGTCTTGTCGGCGTGGGGCCTGAACGCCGGGCCTGGGCTCTGTCCTTCAGCTCTTCAGCTCAAGGCGAGCACCCTACCACTTGAGCCACAGCCCCACTTGCGGCTTTTTCTGCTTATGTGGTGCTGAGGAACCGAACCTAGGGCTTCATGCACGCAAGGCAAGCACTCTAGCACTGAGCCACCTTCCCAGCCCTCCTTACATCTTCTAGCTGCTTGGAAACACATGACTCCAATTTCTTCCTATATGGCTCTCTTCTCCCCGTGTCTGTGCCTCTCCTCCCTCTTCTGCCTCCTTCCCTCCCCCATCCAGGCTGGCCTCAAATTAATGGGTTCCAGTGACTTTACTGTCTCAGCCTCACGAATAGGCACATTTGCCATGCTTGGCTGTGTGTCTCTCACATTGGAATTAGTGTCCACCTTTCTCCAGTATAAAGTAAGTTGTCATCATGAATCCACATCTGCAATGACCCAGTTCCCTTTTTGAGGGCTGCTAGGTATGCAACCCGGGGCCTCACCCATGGTAGGCAAGCCCTTTAATGAGCCACACCCCAGCCCTGCAATGACTTTGCTTCCAAATAAGGTCACTTATAAACATACCTTCAAAGCTGGGCACAGTGGCCCACACCTGTAATCCTAGCTACTTAGGAGGTTGAGATTTGAGGATCATGGTTCAAGGCCAGCATGGACAGACTCCTTTTTTTTCTTTTGTAGTTCCTGAGGCTTGAATGCTGTGTCCGGGCATTATACCTAAGCTCCTTTGTTTTAAGACCAACACTGTATCACTTGAACCACAGCACCACTTCCTGCTTTTTCTGTGACGTGATTGGAGATAAGAGTCTCACAGACTTTCCTACCCAGGCTGGCTTGAAGTGCAATCCTCAGATCTCAGCCTCTTGAGTAGCTAGAATTGTAGGAGTGAGACACTGGAACCTGGCCTAGGAGACCCTATCTACAATTAACCACCAAAAGCAGGATGCGGAGATGTTGCTCAAGAGACAGAGTATTTGCCTTGAGCAAAAATGTTCAGGTTCAACACTCAGGCCTGAGTACAAGCCCCAGGACAAGCACCAAGAAAGAGGCTTTCAACTTTTAGGGTTTTAACTCAAAAGAGCCTTTTGCTTGGCTTTTTCCACTCACAACTTAAGCCAAGCCTCCAGTTCTGGCTTTTTGCCATTATTGGAGAGAATAGCCTCACAGATATCTTTCCCCAAGTTGGCTTTGAAGCAAAACCCTCAGACTGTAGTCTCTTTTTTCTGTCGGTCATGGGGCTTGAACTCTGTGCTGGGGCGCTATCCCTAAACTCTTCAGCTCAAGGCTAGTGCTCTACCGCTTGAGCCACAGTGCCACTTCCGGTTTTCTGGTAGTTTATTGGAGAGAAGAGTCTCACGGAATCTCCTGCCCAGGTTGGCTTTGAACTGTGATCCTCAGATCTTAGCCTCCTGAGTAGCTAGGATTACAAGTGTGAGCCACCTGTAATCCTGTTTTTGAGGATCATATTCAACCTATAACTACTTTGTATACTAGAAACTTAGTTAAGTCTTGTGTATTTCCATAGTAACCTAAAAGAAGTAATTCTATAATTGTCTCTAAGATGCTGATCTTGTCAGTATTTTCTGTACCTGATGTGATAACAACTTAGCCGTACTGGTACTGGATGTGACTGTTTGTATCCTTCTCTTTATGAAGGTTCTCCTATATTATTATCTCCAATTAACCACAAGAGAGCCAGAACTGGAGCTGTGGCTCAAGTGGTAGAGGGCTAGCCTTGAGCACAACGCAGGGACAGTGCTCAGAGTTCAAGGCTCAGTACCACACTAAAAATTTAGTTAAATCATATTCCAAATGCTCATTAAGTATGTAGGATTGGTGGCCACTATACTGGATACCAGGGAGCGCTTGCTTCATCACAGAAAGTTCTTTAGACAGCCCTAGTCTTCAGGAATGGCTCCCTCTAGTGTTACACAGGCATAATCGAAGAAAGGTCCATGTAAGAGTGGCTATATTCTCAAAACCCTATGTGGTACATTATATATACTACAAATTATAGTGCATTACAAATTATAACAATATACACTAGATCTTATAATATATAGTATATCTTATAAATTATATATATATAATATGTACTATATACACATACATATGTATATACACATATAATTAGGTATGTTTATATATAATTTCTAAAGATGTTTTAAAATTTTCTGTTCTCGTAGAGATAAGAATTTTTGTTTCATTGAGTGATGTGTCCTTAATTGTCCCTAATTTGGAGTTATCTAGTTTCTTGGTCTCAGTTTCTGTACTATCAGCTTCCCATTATTACTCTAACAAACCCAGTAGCCTAAAACGACGCACATCTACTTATGTGCTTGTTTATTAATCACGACAGCCTGGGGTTTGAAAGCAGGGCTGCTATATACCCTGGCAGGTGTCTTACTATTTGGGCCACACCTCTAGTCCTTTCTGCTTTCATATCTGGGTAGGGAATCACTTTTTGTCCAGGCTGGCCCTACTGTGCTCATGCTGCTGGTATAATTGAGATTACAAAAGTAAACCACTGTACCCAACTTGATACGGTCTCCCTAAATTTCTGCGTGAACTGACCTTGAATTGCAATCCTTCCATCTCTGCCTCCCAAGTGGCTGGGGTGACAATCATGAGCCACATTTTTGGCTCTGCAAACTTATTAACTTGGTAGATCTATATGTGTCTCGCTGCAGTAAAATCATTGTCAGCAGATTTTACCCCACAAAGACAAACTCTTAAGACACAATTTATTTTCCTGGGATTCTTTAGCTCTTGGCCTTGACCTTCAAATCATCAATGGCATGTTGATTCTTTCCTGTACTCTATTACTCTGGTACTTGTGCCTGTGTTCCTTTCCACTTACAAAGACTCTTGCAATGACACTTGGCCCACCTGGATAACCCAAAGAAATCTCCCATCAATGCTGGCCTGTCAGAAACCTCCAAGCCTGCTGTACCCCTCACCCCTCATCAGATAACCTAACTAACTTGGTTCCTAGAGAGGACTAAGCACCTCTGCTGGTGACCATTCCACTACTACAGTGATGACTGGAGATCACTCGTCACCTCTGCTCTGGTTTTTGTGTGAAATGGGTCTATGTCACTGCTACGGTCCTTTCCAACAGCCAGGAATCCAAACTGAATCCAGGTAATAGTCACCATCATCAATATCTGCCCTTTCATTGAATTTACATTAACTAATTCTGAAATAATGTAACTGAACTTAGGTTATGCGTTGTTCAAAGATATGGGGCCATGATTTTCCCACAATGAGTGTTGGCCAATGCCCCAAACACATACAATAACAATTACAAGACAATGGACTCTTCTACTTAACATCAAGAGAAGACATGACTTACTCTCAACTATGTATTAACCCTCTTCCTTCCTTTTCTTTTCCCCTCACCCCATTATGGCACTAGAGACTGAACCTACGGCCTTATGCACACTAGTCAAGTACCTTACCACTGAGCTACTTACCCAGCCCTTTATTTATTTTTTTGAGATAGGTCTCAAACTTTCAATCCTCCTTGCTTCATATATATATTAAAGGATAAGTGTTTTGATTAGAAATTAAAGTTGTAAATAGTATATCGGGAGTGATTACTGAACCCATTTTTGTACAAGTTTTCTTACCAGTATGTATTTAAATACTATTAACCTGAAATTAGATGTCTTCCATATTAAATACTTCTAGTAATGTACCTTAGAATTGGAATGTTTACAAGTTGTCACCACGTGCATTATTTGAGGAATAAACAAGCATTTTTATTTCTTTCCTTTAATGATGCAAACACAAATGGTGACTTGATACATATTCATATATAACTTCTTCTCTCACACTCACAACTCAGTAGATGGGAATTCAGAAGGACTTCCATAGTCATGTGGAACATACCTACAGCGAAGAAAGAAAAAGTTAAACTACAGAATTAACCAGAAATAGCAAATTACACTACTTTCAAAGTCTACAAAATAAGCCTAAAATAGTACCAATACTTCATTTTAAGGTTAAACAAATATATTTTGTCTGAACTGTCAAAGAGTTCCAAAAGCCATCTGGTCTTGATTTAAATGCCAATTTCATTTTTATCTCCATTGGATCAGTATAGCACTAAAATGGGCAAGGTGTCATTAGCCAAAAAAAGGTAATAGATTTGTATAACTAACCCACAACTATTGAGCTTGAGAGTTAAGTGTGGAGAAAAAAAATGTGTTTTGTGATTACTATGCTTTCTATCCAGCAGAAATAAGCTCTTTATTTTACTAATCTAATCCACGGAAGCTGACTTTATTATTATTGACAATAATAAGGTCTGAACTCAGTACCTCATCTTGCTAGCAAGTTTTCTATTAGTTGAGCCACATCTCCCACCTGAAAGTTGAATTTTTTTGTTGTTTTGTTTTTGTCGATCATGGGGCTTGAACTCAGGGCCTACGCACTGTCCCTGAGCTCTTTTTGCTCAAGGCTAGTGCTACAGCTCCACTTCTGGTTTTCACGTGGTTAATTGGAGATGAGTCTTTTCGGGACTTTTCTTCCCAGCCTGACTTCAAACCATGATCCTCAGATCTCAGCCTCCTAAGTAGGATTACAGGCTCATGACACTGGCACCTAGCACAGTTGAGATTTTTTTTTAAGAGGCATTTTCACTTGATAGGATTAATAGCTGGATATCAGTGTTTCTGAGATCTGAGGATCATGGTTCAAAGCCAGCCTGGGCAGAAAATCCTTACAACTCATCTCTAGTTAGCTAGCAAAAAGCTGGCAGCAGACACCTGGCTCAAGTGGTAGGTCATTAGTGGTAAACAAAAAACTAGAGTTTGAGGCCCTTAGTGAAGCCCAGTATGGGTGTATATACATTAAGGGAAAAAAAAAGACAATGGAAAACTTCAAACATTTTTGCCAGGTGCTGGTGGCTCACACCTGTAATCCTAGCTACTCAAGAGGCTAAAATCTGAGAACTACAGTTCAAAGCCAGGCAGGAAAATCCATGGGAATCTCATCTCCAATTAAACACAAAAAGCTTAAGTGGTACAGAGCCAACTTTGAGCCAGAAAGCTCAGGGACAGTTCCCAAGCCCTGAGTTCAAACCCCAGTACTGGCTAAGCCCCAGGATTGGCATACACACACACAAAACTTGTTAATGTGTTAAAGATGTTTCAAATTAAAAAACAAAAATAACTAACCAAAGTACTGCATTTAAAAGATGTCAAATTAACTTTTACAATCTATTCACACTATAAAATTGAATACTTACTATATTAGCATTTCCAGTTTATTCTAATCCATTTCTCCTTTTATACTCTAACTCATCTTCTTGATGTTGTGTGATAAGCTGCAAATTAAAAGTTTAAAGTTAGGAATGCAATAGTCCTGGAAACTCAAAGAGAAAGACACTAAACAGTTCCAACCCACTCAGCGCCTGGGCACTGAGCATCTTTTGCTCAAGGCTAGCATTTTACCACTTGAGACACAGCGCCACTTCTGGCTTTTTCTGTGTGTGTGGTACATTCAGAGCAAAAACTCAGTCTCACTTCTTCAGGTGCTCAGCAGTAACCAAACTGCTTTTAAGGAAAAACTTTAACTGATGATTTTTTTTTTTTTTTTTTTGTCGGTCATGGGGCTTGAACACTAGGTCTGGGCGCTGTCCCTCAGCTCTTCAGCTCAAGGTTAGCACTCTACCACAGTGCCACAGAGCCACAGTGCCACTTCAGTTTTCAAGTGGTTAATTGCAAATAAGAGTCTCACGGACTGTCCTGCCCGGGCTGGCTTTGAACTGTGATGTTCAGATCTCAGCCTCCTGAGGAGCTAGATTACAGGCATGAGCCACCAGCACCCAGCTTTAGAGAAGAGTTTTTAGAGCTGAAGATGGATGGCAATGGAGGAAGTCCCAAACACATCAAATACAAAACAAAACATCTTGGTTGTCATTAGTTGGGTTTGGAATCAGATCCTCTGCTTGCCTTCTACCACTTGATCCATTCTCCCAGCTCTTTTTGCTTTACTTATTTTTTCAGTTAGGGCTGCACATTATGGCCTGGGGGCCACACTTGGACTGGGATCCCTCCTTCTGATTTGGGAAGAGCAGGACCACAGGCATATACCATCATAATCTGCTTATATAGGTATAAGCAATTTGAGGGATAACCCTCAAACCATGATTCTTTGGATCTCTACTTCCCAAAGTAGCTGGAATCACAGGGGTGAGCAAGCACACAAGGTATCAAAGTAAACATACTTTCAGTCAATTAAAAAAAAATTTGGGGGGCTGGGAAGGTGGCTCAGTGGTAGATCGCTTGCCTTGCATGCCTGAGGCCCTGGGTTCGATTCCTCAGCACCACATAAGCAAAAAGAAAAAAAGCCGGAAGTGGCGCTGTGGCTCAAGTGGTAGAGCGCTAGCCTTGAGCTGAAGAGCTGAGGGACAGCACCCAGGTCGAGTTCAGGCTTTTTTTCTTTTTGCTTATGTGATGCTGAGGAATCGAACCCAGGGCCTCAGGCATGCAAGGCAAGCGATCTACCACTGAGCCACCTTCCCAGCCCTAAAAAAACTTTTTTTTATCTTTAGAGAGGTGGTGTTTCATAGTGGTCTACAGTACAATATGGCCTTTGAAATCAAGAGTAACTGGATTCAACAAGCTAGAGGTGTGGTTTAAGGGATTAGAGCTCCTGCTTAGCAAATGTGAGGCCGTGAGTTTAAACTCCAGTACTAACAAGCCAACAACAACAACAAAAAAAAAACCCTCACATTTCCAAGTATTCATCTGTAAAGGGCCAGCAACAATAGCACATACCATATAATGGTGTTATGGTAGAGTGCGGGCCAACCATGCCAACCCAGGCCTGAGCAGAAAGACAGCAAGAAGCTGTACAGTCTCCCACAATGCATTTACATGAGCACTGTTTTAAAACAAATGTTTGAAAAATCTATTGAGTTGTAGAGCTTGTTCACTGCTGGTTTGCACCTATGGCATCTGAAAGTCATCCTATGGTTTTCGGGCATCATGAAGCTCTGAAGTGTTGAGGTGGGCTCAAGTGGTATACAGCTCTGGCTTGTCAAATGCCAGTCTCTCAGCTTCGATCCAAAGAATCACAAAACACTCAAGAGTGTCAACGCTCACTAACTGCTGGTGCTTCACACCTGTAATCCTAGCTACTCAGGAAGCTGAGATCTGACAATCACACAATTGGAAGCCAGTAAGGGCAGGAAAGTCCCAGAGGGGCTTTTCTCCAATTAACCACCAGAAAGCTGTTAGTCCAAGTGTGGTTCAAGAGGAAGAACCACCAGCCTTGAGCGAGAAAGCTCAAGGAACGGCCCCTAGGCCAGGAGTTCAAGCCCTACTACTGGCACCAAAAAGAAAGGAAATGGAGACTAGCGCATGGCACTGTCCAGCTCGTCTGGGTTTTCCCACGGGGCTGCAGACTTTCTTCTTAGTCCTCCTCGGGCTCTCCTTCGGGGAGGCCTGGGCGGTCGGCCGTCCCTTGCACACCGTTATCGTGGGGCAGCTGCCAGCACCCAAGCTCCGGGGCTACCCAGTCGCGAGCGGCCGGGGTTCAGTACTCACTTTGAACCACAGGAAGCCCGTGGTGGCGAAGGTCAGCACGACCTTGGGCCAGTTCGGCTGGGCGTGCAGCGGCTCCCGCACGTAGAACTTGGACCGCGCGGCCGCTGCAAGGGACAGAGACGCTGGAACCGCGGCCCGGGCGCGGGCGCAGGCGCGCGCGCAGGCGCAGGCGCGGCCGCTCCCCGCCCACCCGCGGCGTGGGGGAGGACAGCCACTCGGGCCGGGCCACGAGCAGGGTCAGACCCCCCCGCCCCCCCGCCCCGACGGCGCGGGCCGCGAAGGCCACCGGCCGGCACTCGCAGCCGAGCCGGGACTGCGCTCGGGCCTCGGCCGAGAAAGGTCAGAGCAGAACCGGGCTCGGGTCACCGTCGTTCCGTCCCCGAGAGCCCGGGGCGTCCTGACCCGCTTAGGTTAGGGGTGGGACGGACCGGCACCGGTAAAGTCACTCACAGCCGCTCGGAAGCCGGGCGGGAGCCAGCAGCCGCGACAAGGGCCGCAGCAGCGCGGAGTGCGCCATCTTGACAGCCAGGCCCCGCCCCGCTCAGGTGTCAGGTGTCCGCGCGCAGGCGCAGACCGTGCGCCCCCTGGCGGCCGGCAGCCGCACGGCCCGGGCGTCCGGAGGGGCGCCTGGCGTCCAGCGCGCAGGCCCGCACGCCTGGCTTCTAAGTAGGTCAGGAAGGCGGCGTTGGAAAGGGGACGCGTGTGAGTGCGTGTGGAATTCAACCAACAGTGTTACACCTGTAACCTGCACCTGTAAGACCGATCCTTTACGTTTGTTGGGAGGCTTTGGAACTGCTTAGGGAAGACGATATGCTTAAAAACAAAAAAGATCTTCCACTGACCAGCTGGGGGTTTTCTTGGGCAATTGAGGCAGATATTTGGGCATTCGAGTCCCTAAGCAATCTGGAGTCTGAAGAGCAGGTGTATATGTAGCATGATAGATTTTGACCCTTTAAGGCCATTTCTTTCCATGTAACGTGGGCTGGAGGTGTGACTCAGGTGGTAGAGTGCTTGTCAGGCAAGTAACAGGGCCCTGAATTCAAACTCTGACCCTCCCCAAATTACAAACCTAATGCCATGTAGGTTCATTTTAAAGCAGAGCAAGTGTTAGCAAATACGCAACACTTTTTAAAGTTAAAAAAAAAGTTATTTACCAAAGTGAGAAAAAAAAAAAAGACTGCTTTGCGGCTCATTTTAAAATGCTCATGATGGCTAAACAGGTTGCTAAAATGGTGAGTCACTTTAGAGTGACTTTGTGCCTCTTGGACTCATGCTCAAGTAAGCAAAGCACCTAACTAGCGCGCTGAGTCAGTTGTTGCCTCTCAACTTCTTGGCTTCTTGTCTACTCAGCAGCCGTCAGTCACATAGCCTGTCAACACCACCACTTAGAAGCTTGTCCTGACACTTTTGCCAGTCTCCAACAAGTTAAAACAACATCCACATTTAGTCAAGAGTATGCGGAACTAGTATGCAAATGACTGAGCTCAGTACCTACGATGGGAAAAAATTTTACTTTGTTCTTATTCAGGCTTTTTTGGTCGCTGTATCCTTTTACTAGTGTATATTTTGGGAAAGTGATGAAGTATAAGAACACTGCTCTCAGCACGTTGGAGCTGATGGAATCCTACACTTGGAGTAGGCAGCTTTTTTTTTTTTTTTTTGTCAGTTGTGGGGCTACAAAGTCCCTGAGCCTCTCTGTGCTCAAGGCTAGTGCTGTACCACTTGAGCCACAATACCACTTCCAAAACCCCATCTTGGAAGGAGTCCCAAAGAACCAGTTTCAGCCAGAAGCTAATACTATTACTATTACATTTTGGTAGGAGTTGCTTCATAATATTAATAAACTATGTTTATATGTATATATATATATATTGTTGTTGGTGGTGGTCTTGAACTCTGCCTGGGTGCTGTCCCTCAGCTCTTCAGCTCAAGACTAACACTCTACCACTTGAGCCACAGCACCACTTCCAGTTTTCTGGTGGTTAATTGAAGAGTCTCATGGACTTTCCTTGCCCATGTTGACTTTGAACCATGATCCTCAGATCTCAACCTCCTGAGTAGCTAGGATTACAGGTGTGAGCCACTGGCGCCCAGCTTTATAAGCAATATTTTATTTTATTTATTTATTTTTTGTCGGTCATGGGGCTTGAACTCTGGGCCTGGGCGCTGTCCCTCAGCTCTTCAGCTCAAGGCAAGCGCTCTACCACTTGAGCTACAGCGCCACTTCCGGTTTTCTGGTGGTTTATTGGAGATAGGAGTCTCACGGTCTCTCCTGCCCCTGCTGGCTTTGAACCGCGATCCTCAGATCTCAGCCTCCTGAGTAACTAGGATTACAGGCGTGAGCCACCAGTGCCCGGCTATAAGCAATATTTTAAAATTTGAGTGCTAAGACTATTATTCATGATCCAGGTAAATAGAGAGGGTATTTGAGTTAGCATCTAGAAAACCAGTTTTAGTCCTAGATTTTTCCAGTAGGAAATGTTTTACTCAACTCACATCTCTCAGGGAGAGCTAGAGAAAGGAACAGTTAAAAAAAAAAAGTTATAAGAAATGCAAAACACTACATGTGGTTATTGATTATGACAATACAAGAATTGTACAAATCAAATTGAGGATCTGGAGAGGGATGGACTTCCTCTGTATCTGCAAGTAGCACAACAGAGTATGGGGCTAGGTGTGATGCTGCACACCTGTAACCTCAGCTGCTTGGAGAACCAGAGGCAGGTTCAGGCTGCAGGCACATCTCTAGTCCCTGTCCAACAAGCATGAGGCCTTGATTTCAGATTACAGTAATGCCAAAAACATGCCTTCAAAACAAAATGCAAAAGCAAAAAACCCACAAAAAAGCTCAGAATAGGGAAATGTTATTATTTATTAAAGCTGGGTGACAAATACATAAATTTCTTTGGTTGTTTATAAAATGTATTAAGATGTAAAAATATCAATAGAAAACATCTTAGAAAACACATAAAGATGGAGAGAAATTTCACTCCATCCCTTTAATGGAACGAAAGTTTGCAAGCTGAAATGATTTCATTTTTGGTTAATGTTTTTGGAAGTAGCTTCCCCTTCTCCTGCCCCAACCACTCAGGGCTTGGATCAAACCTCTCTGGGTTCTTCAGACTAGATCTCAGTATCTAGCTCAGGCTAGTATAGAACTCTTGCTATGTATATTTGGCTGACCTCCACACTGTCAGTATTCCTACCTCAGTCTCCCGAGTAGGAAGATTACAGTCATGTACCATCACACAGAGAGAAGCATTTTGCCATAAGAGACCTGGAAGTAAACAGGATACAAGGATAATTAGTTCATTTATCTTACCAGGAAGTATGAAAACTTCCTGGAAACTTAGCTGTTATAACTTAAGTAAATCTAAGTCAAATAGTATTAATTAGAGAGAAGATATTTAATTGTTGAGTCTGTGTGGTCAGACTGTTAGCTGTTGGAAAATTTTACCTTGGAAAGGAATGTTGAAATTAAACTAATCATCGCTAAACCTTAAAAATTGGTATTTAGGGTTGGGAACTATAGTTTACTGTGTAGAAACACTTGCCTAGTATACATGAGGCCCTGAGTTCAATATTCAGTGGAAAACAAGAAAAACATTTATATCAGCCAAAAAGAATGAACAGTTGCCGAGCTGGTTTTGTCTCAAAGACAAGAAATTTACTTTTGCAAGGAAAAGCATATTATTATATACAAGAGAAATTTAGGAAACCATAGTATTACTGTAGATTTCTCTATGAAACCAGAGATAGTAGTGACTAAGGTAAATTTATCACCGACTTAAACAATTATCTTAATTTTTCATATAGTTGAAAGGTCTCTAGGACACTGGATCTGCAGATTACATTTAGAGATTTTATTTTTTTTTGGGGGGGGGGGAGGATGCTGTGCCTGAGCATTTTGCTCAAGGCTAGTGCTCTACTAGTTGAGACACGGCTCCACTTTTGGCTTACTGATGGTTAATTGGAAACTGAGACTCACAGGCTTTCCTGCCTGGGCTGGCTTCTAATCAGGATCCTCAGATCTCAGCCTTCTGAGTAGCTAGGATTACAGGCATGAACCATGGGTGCCAGGCAGGACTGGGGTTTGAATTCAGGTTCTCATGCTTAGCAAGCAGGTATCACTGAGCCAGGCCTCCAACCCTGTTTATCATTAGTTATTTTTAGTATAAAGTCTGCTTCATACTTAGGCCTGCTTGAACCCCAAGCCGCCTTTAGGCTTTGGTTAATTGCTGAGATGGTAGGCATGTGCTATTGTGTCCAGCTATGGATTGAAAAAGAGGTCTCAAGAGCTTTCTTGCCGGGGCTGGCTTTGAACTGAAGGCTTTCAGCCTTGCAAGCAGCTCTAGGATTGTAGACATGATCAGCAAATGCATGGCTACAGATTTTTTAAAAGATGAATTTCTTTTTCTTTTTTTTTGGGTCCAGTCGTGGGGCCTGAACTCTAGGCCTGGGTGCTGTCCCTCACCTCTTCAGCTCAAGGCTAGTGCTCTACCACTTGAGTCACAGCGCCACTTCTGGCTTTTTTCTTTTTGCTTATGTGGTGCTGAGGAATCGAACCCAGGGTCTCATGCATGCAAGGCAAGCGCTCTACCACTGAGCCACCTTCCCAGCCCTAAAAGATTAACTTCTAAGTCTGTTTTTAACTTTATATTTACTCTAACCAAGCTAACAGTCAAACCCTCCCCCCACCCCTTTCTGTGATGGCACTGGGGGCTGAACCCATTTGCTAGGCAAGTTCTCTATCATTGTGCTACAACCCAGCCAAGCCCCTAAAACTACCCATTTTGATACTAAGACAGGACTTCCTGTATGTACAAGTTTCCTAATTAAATTTTTTTCTTGATGGCACCTGGACTTGAACACTGGGCTTCGTGCTTTGTCCACTGGAGCCGTGCTTTCTAATTTTTCTAATTGAACTTTTAAAGAGAGATTACAGAATCCAAGGGAATTTCAAGATTTGACTTTGGGAATCCCTATTTTTTGTCCCAGGTGAAAGTAGAGGGTCACAGCAGAGAGAAAGCCCATGTTTTTAGACTCCAATTTTTCCAGTGGGAAACATCTTAATGAAAAAAAGACTGGAAAATTGTAACTGTGTAAATAAATTTAAAGAGCACATTTGTGATTTATGATGCAAAGAACAAAGATCGCTACAGGTCAAATTCAGGATCTGAAGAGGGATAATGACTCTTCTGTGTGGACCTAGAGGGAACTATTCAGTATCTGGTATGACCTTGCCTTACTAAGGCAGTTCCTTTCTAGCATTCTTGCCAGATTCTCTTCTGCTAAAGGTCTGAAGAATTCTGGCCATGACTCGACAGTGGCAGTATCCAACACTAGTGGGAAACCACCCTCCAGGGGAGTCGTGATTCTGAACCTGTTCACCAAACCAAGTTGACTCACAGAGCTGGTTCTTCAACCTTGCATTGCATGGCCTTCACAAGGGGAAAACTGCACACTGCGACCTCCAGAGACTCCTTTGGCAGGACCAGTATGCCACTCACTTCTGATCTAGCTAAGCACCTTTT